AATCTGAGGACTGCAGTTTGGGGCCAGCCTGAGTAGATAAACTGTAGAAATTCTTATCTCACCTCCCATTAATCAGTCAAAGGACAAAGGTTAAAATATAGATCAATGGCAGAGCTCAAGTCTTGAGTGAATAAGCTAAGGAAGAGTTTGTCGTCCTGAGTTCTATCCCAGAAATGACACAAAAATCAACATAACTCCTAACATGAAAATGATGTTCAAACAAATAATGTTTTAATGTGTTGAAAGTTTGTGGAGAAGAAAATTATTTTCCTTACCATTTATGCCCAAATATTCACTTGCCAGCACTAACCATTGTACTAAAAAAGTTAAGGCTCGACTGCTGATTTGGATTTGTTCTATGTCTCAATGAAACCTTAGATTATGAGCAACATATACTTATTTAGCTTTTGCATTTCTCAAATCGTAATGAGCTTATCAGGAAGCAAGTACCCACATTGATAGCAAAGTGAATATAGCTCAGTAGGGTAAGCTTATATCACTTTATTCACCTCTGTTGCCAGCATGGATTTAAAAAACTATATCCCCAAATAAACATTCTGTGGTTGTACTAAACTTTACTCAATAAAATTTCCAAGAATCTGGATCAGTTTGCATCACAATTGGCATAAGCATCAGGATTCAGAACAGGCCAAGTGCTTCCTCATGCCCCATACCAGGGATGATTGTAGGGGTGGGAAGCAGGGACCCCAGGGTACCCCATGACAGCATCTCCCTACAACACCAAGGATAGAGGACATGCAGTTACAGCATTTACAGGTGATGTGGACCCAGGGGAAAATGTGACATTTGTAGAGGAGTTTTGTGAAGCCTTTTAATCTGTGTGAGTGATTTCACTGATTTTTCTATTCCATTGTCTCTTGTCATCACTGGCCCAGAGATGTTCCCTTAATTCCTCAATTTCTGCCGGGTCCCTTTCCATGAATTACTCCCCAGATTTCTAAATCTGATCCCCTCCCATAGGCAGAAAGGTATGTAGGGACAGTCAAAAACACCTCCTCCAACCTTGAGTGTCATTGCTGTTTCCCTGGAAACATTATTGTTAAAGAGACCCAAACCTCCAGACCTAGAATTACTTGCATCATATCATGGCAGCAACCAGTTTAGTGAAACAGATTTAAACACTTGCTCTCTGCAGAGTGGCCATATTCTCCTTCATTAGATAGGGAAAGGGTGGCATCATTTTCTACTTCTCCATAAAGTCCACTGAACTGTGCATACTAAACGTTTTGAATTTCACATAAAGTGAAAGAGTGTCTTATGTATGCTAGAGATGAAAGTAAAACCACAATGATTATAATGGAAACTACATTTTATTATAAATAACAAGTCTACATTTCCTATCTATAATATCTAAACATTTATGATATCTACACATTGCCCTACCCAATCAGTAGCACTGTGCTTTCTGCTCTTTCTACAAATGATAACTACCAACAATAGACACAGTGTGAAATGCATCAAAAATTTATATCCATGTGCTCTCTAATGCTCAGTATGCTTTTTCTGTATGGAGTGGCATGTTAACTTGGCAGGCCATTGATTGTCTGCCCTTGAGTAGTAAAGACTGAGTTCTAGAAGAGGCCTTCCCTCTATGGTGTCTGGAGCCCTAAGCTTGTTATGAGCCACACTCACTCTCAGTCTGCCCTGACAGGAGACTCTTCAGTGCAGCCTACGAAAGGCTAGAATGACTAAAAGGCAGGCAGGCTATCTCCTGGGTCCCTTGAATTCTCTAGGCAGGATGATAGAATTGAATGTCATATAAGCTTGGGAAGAGAGTCTGCAGAATCCACAGGCAAATGTGGTAGTGACCTGCACCAGAGAAAGGCGTCAGGTTAACACTCGTGGTCATTCCTCCACCCTCAAGAGGATCTGGCCCCTGAAGTACTTCCAGGAAGCCAGATGATAGGACACTGTCCAGTTTCAAGTGTAATTGTGACAGAAGGAGGAGACTGTGGATATGTGATTCTGAGTGTGACCTGGACATGAGCAGAGTGGCAAGTACAGTGTGGCTTGGGGACTTGAGTTTGGAAGTGCTTATGCTGTGGTGGACCACAGCAATGTCAGGAGAAGCCAGGACATTCAGAAGTGCTCCGGTGTGGCAGCCAGTTCTAGGGCCTTTCAGAAACTGAATTTTGGAACTGAACTTTTGGGGATCATAGTATGGATATAAAGAAGGCTGGCACTGGGAAGAAGGGGTATGGGAAGGGCCAATGTCCTCTTTTCTGGACTTCAGAGGATTCTTTGATGAGGCGCCTGTTGAGGTCCATGTGGGAGCTAGATGAGCCAGCCAGCTTCCTGTTACTGTGTGAGGCCCCTTCCGGAATAGCCCCACTGCTGTTGTCTGGGCCACAATTGACCTGATCCAATGGTGTGGACTGGGAGCTTCCACTGGTATTGAGGTTAGTTTTCTGGGCATGGCAAATTTATAGATGGCAAGTTTACTGGGAACAACTCCACAAAGGCACAAGAACCAATTCCTGGACACCAATACACTCTGTGATTGGTGCCTCAGTCAAGAATGCAGGTCCATCACCAGCTACCTTCCTCCTTCCACAACTGAAGGTCCATAGAGACATGACAGTGGAGGAAGTGAGAATCAGAGACCAAGGACTCTCAGCCCAGGAACACTGTTGGTCATGGAAAGGTATCACCTGGATATCTGGCTCCTGTGTCCCAGCCCAGACCTAGGCTCTCAGGACTCCATCCTAGGGACAACCTCACTCGTGTTGCCCTGTTGTTCCAGCTCACCTGGCCTTCTCGCTGAGCTGCTCTAGGCCCTTGAACCAAGCATCACACTGTTGTTCTGGTGTGAAGGTATAATAATTGCAGGTGGACTGCAGCTGCCTCACCTGCTTCTAAACATCGAATTCCTGGTGAGGACAGAAGAGGATGGTGACATGACTGGGCTGTGCTGGGGAATGGATTTCTGCTCTCTGCAACGGGAGCCCCTCATCTTCCTCCCACCCAGGTTCTCCCTGTTTGAACGTGATTGCTTACACAGTCAGTCTCTGGATGCTCTCCTCGGTCCCACCTCCGACACCCAGCTTTCTGCTGGAGGTGCCTAGCCTCTCTACCAAAGGTCCACCACGTAACTCGAGTGAATACACCTGATAATCCAACCCTGCTATGGGCATCTACCTATGTGGGGAGTTGTAACTCACCTTTCTCAATTTCTGGAAATTAATCACTCCCTCCTAAAAGGCAGACAGGAATGTGATTAGAAATGGCCCTCCTGCCTGCCTGGGCTCTTCTACCCCTGGAGGCAGGACACATATACAGGAACTGAGTGAGGGCAATTTGCAGACAGGGACTTTCTTCGCCTTAGACCTTCCCTAGGGACTGAAGTTCTGAGACCCAATTGTCTAAATCTTGTGAGGGACTTGGGTTTCAGGTCAAAGGCTTTGCTAGACCACATTCTGCATGTCTTTCAACCTTGGCTATACTCTCTTTTCCCCAGCTAGTCTTGAGGAATTTGCTGTTCCAGCTGAGTATCTGCCTCTGTCTCAGGCAGCTCTGAAAGTCACAGACAAAATTGGGTGCAGTGTTCTGCTCAGAGAGGAGATGGAAGGCTCTCAAGAATGCTAGACCTAAGAACTCAATAGGGGGACTTTTTCTCCTGGACCCAGGCCGCCAACTCTGCCCTGGCTACTCACATCCAGGAAGTCCTGAAAGGCAGCGTCAATCATCATGAGGTCCTTTAGGATAATTCCTAGGTAGGGAATAGTGCCCTTGACTAGCACCTGTAAGATTGGTAGAGATGGTAAGTTAGGCCCAGGGATCCTCTCCCAAGAGGTGCTCAGTCATTCCAAGCCCCACAGGGGCTTTGTTATCAGAGTAGCCTAGGGATCATATGGCAGTTCTGTGTTGAGCTCCTCCCCTGCAGTTGGAACTCCAAACTGCATCTGCATCAGGTTATGTCCCATACTGGCATTAAAGAACCCCAGCTGGTGTAGCCTGTGCCACACAGCTTCTCTATAGATTAAGTCCTGGTTCTGGTGGGTCCAGCACCTCTTCCACAATGAAAACAGGGCCAGAATGCTGAAGACATGGAGCCCATTTCTCAGAGTGCATATAGAGAAGTGGAGAAAAGGTAAAAAGATCTCCAGGGGAACTCTCTTGTCTTACACAGCTGGGGCTTTGGGCACAGTTACGAACTCCTTTGACAGCCTCAGACATCTCTTGGCCTCCTTCTACTTGGTGGCAACTATGAAAGTGTCCTGCCATGATTGGGAGTGGAGTTAAAGAGGTCTTTCTCCTATCCACAATCATCCAAGACCATGAGCACAGAGTTCCCTGGTTGTCTGTGACAAAGGGCTTAACACCTGGCAAGCCAGTTCTAGCTCAGTCTCTACCTGAGTTCCACTAATGTGGCATCTCAAGTGAGGAATCTGGCCTCATTTTGACTGTTTCCTCTTCTGCAAAGTGTGTGGGAATACACCTGCCTCAGGGGGCTGGGAGTACTCAGTATCTTCCCCCACCAGTGGTGCTTTCCTGATTAGCAACAGTGCCAAGGCCGTTTCTGAATTCTTGAACATCTCTTTCTCTATTGGACCTCATCTTCCCTTGTGAAATAAACCTAAACCTCCTCATCTCTTTATATGCCAGATGAAAATAATGAAATGAACAGAGGGCTGGCAACTTGTCCAGTGCCCTGTAGCTATACAAGGGGAAAAATCCTTCAGCCTCATCAGGCTATTGACTGAGGTGTTGTCCTCTAGCCCCTTGGTGTGTGCCAGGGTGCCAATAGTAATTGAGGCTCAAAGAGAGAGGAAGACTGAAGCTTTCTGCCTGGCCCAGGTGCCGAATTCTTTGTCCTTGCATTGGCCCAAGTCTAAAGCCATTTTATTCTATCCCCACAAATATTCTACCATTCTCCTGTGGAAGTCAGTTCTATTGTTACACTTGAATTAGGGCCTTTGTCAGGGTCCCTGATGTGGACAATTATGCCATGTGACTGAGGAAATGAATCCTGCTTCCTTGTTACATAGTAGCTGCTAGAGAGTTTAGGAAAGACACTCAATGAGATGATCATTCCCTTTTCATTTTTAAAGCAGCTAGGCTCTCCACAGATGTGTAGTACCTACCACAGCTTTTGTGTGATCAGCAGCATCTACTGCTCTAGAGAGCCAACACAGTGCCTCCCACGTTACAGCCTGAGCCTGGATGATTTGGCTCTAACTCAATGACTTCCATGTCCATTTGGCTCCTATGCAGCATTGAGAACCCTAGTGGCACTGCAGAGCAGGAATCTCCCCAATGAAGTTCAGCCAACAGTGACAGCAATAGAAGCCAGGGTTCCAGGGGACTGGTGGGACCTGTGTCTTGGCAAATAGACTCAACCACTCCATTAACACAGTCTGCCAATATAAAATCCCAATAGGAAGCAAGACACCCCCAATCTGGGTTCAAGTGTCCTCCAGAGATACCCTGTCTTCCTGCAGTACAACTATTGTGAGAGGCCTCTTGGTCACTGCCTAAGCAGGCTCCTCTCTCCTTGTCCAGTTGACACAGAATTGAAATTGTTCAAAATACTCTCAGAGAGCTAACAACAAACACTTGTCCTCCCCTCACCCACATCTCCTTACTTTGAATCGCAGTTCTCTGCACCTGGCCTGATTATTTTCTGGAGAAATTATGTCGACAGTTTCTGAAATCTTCGGAAGTTATCTCTACAGGAGGAGACAAGAGAAGGTGACAGTTGGAAAAATGAGGGGGGTGGGGAGGATGAGAGAATGGATCTCCATTTTGTTTTAAAACCAAGACTTACAAGTGCCTGGACAAGAGTGTCCGAATACAGAAAAAAAAAGAGTGTCCGAATACATCTTTTGAATCTTATGGATACATAGGCTTGGGGCAAGTACTTGATCCTAGCAAAATGGGGGGGCTATATAATTTCCAATATGCCATTCTGCTTTGATTACAAAAACGTAGTGTGGGTGATGCCAGCCTTTGTGCCGGCACAGCTCCTGCAAAGAGAGGACCCACCTGGAAACCATTACCCAGATCCTCTCCAGGATTTGGATCGAAGAGTTCTTCAGGGCAGAGATGATGGCAAACACAGAGGAGAAATTCCTCAGCACTAGACACTCCTCGGCAGAAAGACTGAGATTTGGATGATTCTAACACCAGATTTTACTATGGTTGCTGGCTTAGCCTCTCACAGTTAGGTTTGGGGGAGATCATGGAGTATGGGACAAGTAGGCAGGATTTTACACAGCCCAAGATCTGGGTGAGCACAGGGACAGTGAGTAGCCTGCTAGAGGAAAGATTGTCTGTGGGAATGTGGGACTCGATCCACACAGGTCTCTGAACACAGTCAAATCCTGAGGATAAAATTTAGAATAGTGAGTCGCTGGTCGCCACATGTATCATACCCAGGCCACCTTGATCCACTGCTGCACCAGAGGAGCTCTGTCTGGGGCCCTCATGCTGTGATCCCCAAGACAGCTTGTGATTACACAGTATGACACGCTGTGGAAGTGTGTGACATTAGCCCAGATGGTTGGGGCCAAGTGCTCCTTGACCTTCTTGTCACTCATGGACCAGATAGAGTCCAGGCATTGGTAGGGCACTACCTTTCTGAATAGTTCCTGGGGAAGAGAATGGTGTCACCTGGCCTTGTCATAGATTGCAATTCCAGGTGCAGGCTGGGATGACTCTAGTAGGAGATGGAGCTAGGGAAGTGCACAAGGTGATCTGAGCCTGTGGGAAGCTCTGGGTCTGGTGTGCTGACCACCTAGAACAGCCAACACCTGAGTATCATAGAAGAAAACATAGGTGGGAAAGTGAGAGTTGTATTTTCCCTACCTAATCCCAGTCTATCTAATTGGAATTAGCTCTGTCTGCATGGCGCTAACCAGAAGCATCTGCCCTCACATAGCCACCTCATGCCTGTCTCCTGATGCACCTGCAATGTCTACCTTTAAGGCCAGTCTTGTCTTCCCTAACCTGTGATAAAATAGGTGCCTAAAACGTCCTCATGCTGGAGAGGGTTCCTGGAATGAGGATGAGCTATAGGCCTGGCTGCCCCTGGGAGGGGAATGGGTCTCATCTCTTATGATTCCATGTCAGAAATTTGCTTTGGCATGGTTAGGTATTGTGGAGCTGAGATTTAGACAAGGCCGTGGCCCCAGGAAGAAGCAGCTACAGAACAGGCAGCAGAATAGAGCAGGTACCCCATCCTCCCTTCATCCATACCTAGGACCTCACCACATCCATCATGGTGAATTGCTTGGCCACCAGCTCAAGAGAAAAAGCCAAGAAATCCAGCTTCTCCTTGTTCATCCAGTTCTGTGAGGTACCACAAGAAAGACTTGAAGGGTCTCCTAAGAAACCTGATGCCTCCTCAGGCTCTGAGTCAATGGAACCTGGGACTTCTGGATCCAGCTCTGAAAGAGGTTCTGTATAGGGCTTAGGCTCTTGACCCTCAAAAGGATCTGGCTCCAGCTCAAAGCAGGTGCTGGAGATGACTCTTATTCCAGCTCTATACATTGGTTCTGGCTATATACATTGACTCTATACATTGGTATTGGTTCTGCTGCTGAGCTTAGCCCAAGAGCCACAGAGGTGTTAGACTCTAGGTTGCAGTTAGCTGATGAACTTTCTCCTGCTGAGCTGCATACAAGAGACACAAATGGAGTAGTTTCTAGTACTGTTCTATCTGATGACCAATCTCCTGCTGAGTTGGGAACCAGAACTCCAAGTGGAGTAGGCTGTAGGCTGAGCTAGCTGATGAGGATTCTCCTTCTCTGCTGGGAACCAGAGCCACAGAGGCCCAAGGATCTAGGCTGCAGCTATCTAATGACGGTTCTGCTGTTGAACTGGGCACCAGAGCCACAGATGGAGTAGGCTCTAGGTCTGTGCTATCAGATGACTATTCTCCTGTTGAGCTGGGCACCAGAGATACAGATGTAGATTCTAGGTCTGAGCTAGCTGATGATGGTTCTCCTTCTGATCTGGGCACCAGAGCCACAGTTGGAGCCGGCTGTAGGTGTGAGCTAGCTGATGATGGTTCTCCTTCTGAGCTGGCCACCAGAGCCACAGGTGGACTTGGCTCCAGCTGTGAAGCTGAGGCCAATTCTCCTGCTGGGCTTTCCACACAAACTGAGGCTTGTGCTAAATCTGAATTGGGCTCCCACTCAGAACTAGAGCCTTTGACTCCCACTGGGACAGGCACCAGAGGCACAGATGGAGCTAGCTGGCTCTCTGAATGTGACACTGGTTTTCCTGTTAGGCAGGGAACCACAGCTGCAGGTTGGGTTGGCGTCAACTCTTCCTAAGGATTTGGGGCTGGTGAAACACCTGGAAGAGCACGTAAGATTCTTCACATTACTGCAATGCTCTAAGTGTTTTCAAAAGTAGAGAAGACACCCTCTGCCCCAAAATTTCCAGTTCCTCACTTTCAATAGGATACCTTCTAAAATGCCTCCTACCCACTGTGCCTTTCAGGTTCCTTCTTGCTTCTAATTCTATGCCACACTTAACTATTCCTCCCAGTGTGGCCCTGCCCTGACTCCCCTTCTCCCCTCCCTGTTCCCACCCCTGGATTCTCACCCTCAGACTCAGCCTTGTTGGGCTCCAGGGCC